TAGGAAACTCCCTATAAATCTCAATTATTTTTTGTATGATTATTTTGTAAAAATTCATATTTTCTGTTCAGGATTTAATATTCCAAGTTAAAAACAACAGACTGGAAGAAGAAATTTCCAAGATATATGAAAAACATTTAATATCCAGTGTATGTAAAAACGCCTACAAGACAATAAGAATGATTCAATTTTTTAAATGGGCAACGTATAAAATATTAACTCAGAGCAGAGGAAACTAAATTATCAAATAAACTTGTAAAGCAACATTCATTCTCATGAATATTGAGGAAATGTGCAATTAAAATTTTACAAGATGCCAGTTCATATTGATCAGATTTACCAAAATTAAAATATTAGTTAATATCAAGCGTTAGCAGAGTTATAGGGAACTAGGAATTCTTATGCAGGGATCATGGAAATATGAATTAGAAATTGCTCTTTGGAAAGCAATTCAATAAAACTGAAATTTCAGATATCATGTAAGCCAGTGATACCATGAGATTCTCTTGCACATGTGTACTAAGGGATATATAGAAGGTGGCAATATGAGGGTTTTTTTTTAAATATTTCTTTCAGACAGAGACGATAACTCAGTTCAGGTTCACTTAAAACATTCACATTACAAAATTTAAAAAAAACTTAGTTCACCTTAAACTCTTAGATTATATATTTTATTATTCTAAGTCTAGGAAACTTTAATAAATACTTTTAAGTGAGTTTTTGTAGCAATTAAATTTCTTTGAATCTTTTAAATTGTGTTTATAAATTTAATATATTAGATTTTAAATACTTCAATTGTCTTAGGACAAACAAATCTCAGATACTTAAGGAATTCCTATTAGCTTAATAAGTTTAAAATATTGAATATGCTGAATCTTAAATTTTCCTAAATGTTCCAATGCTTGTTACAAATTAATAATATTTCAATCTATGATTACAAATTTAAATCAATTACCTAATTACGTTATAGGTAATTTTCATTAGAATCATAAACTTATTTGTTAGATAATCAAATATGACAAATTATTTTATATATAATGAATATTTAAAATACCAAGCATGTATAAATGCTTTAATACAAAAATATTATAATTACCTGTTTGATTTGCTGCATTATTTCTATACTCAGTCTTTATTCTTCTCAGGGCAAACATGTTTTCCCAATAAAGAAATGAGTGAAACATCCCAAGTAGTTTGGAGATTATTTTCTCAACTGTCCTGGATGCATATTGGTAGTAGATGTTCAAGAGCATTTTCCCGACTATCCTGGCTGCCAGGCTGAGCCCTATTTCAGTTGTTTTGTCAGCACCCTCCATATGCAGGTGTCTCAAAGCCCATTCTCTTCAAGTCTGGTTACATATTATCTTCATATCACGTATTTTCTTGGAAGTCTGCAACTCTGAATGTGTTGCTGCCTCTTGATTCATTTCAATTCATTTATTGACTGTGTCATTAATTCTAAATTGCAACAGTTTTCCTATCTTGTAGAACTAGAATTGTTCTAGATGTTTAAATGACATCTGTTTGGATTCTGTATATCTCCTAGGGCTTTGTTTAGTTCCTTGGTAGTGGTCTGAAAGACGTGCTAATGAGAAAAGAACGCTCATAACAGCCTTGTTTCTATACTGATAAATTGGAAACAATCTAAATGATCATCAGTGGGATATTGGATAAATAAAATGTGGCATAATCACATAAATGACTACAATAAAGAAGTTTGATATATATTTCAATATGTCAATTTGACAAATTTTGAACAAATCTTAAAATGCATGGTGTTGCATGACAAAAGCAAATTGTCAGAAGGTAAATACAATATGTTATGATTTATGTAATATTATTTAGATACACAACTCAAAATTAAGTCCTTTACTTGTTATATTTATAGTTAGTAAAAGAAAATAATATAGATTAGAATGTGAAATAAAATTTTCATTTTTGTGTTTTGATTTTGACATCTTTTATTTTGAGCAGTATACTCTGTAAGCAGAAGGCTAAGCTCAGAGTCTGATTGTTTTCAAAAAACAAGTGTGTGTGGTGGGGAGAGGGGCAGTGTATGTGAATGATTTCAACGCTGGTGAGCAAAAGTTTTCTTTTAACAAATATGTTACATACATTAGTAAATAAATACAGTTTCCTAATACAAATAAGTTTTCATTCTTTTTGGCCATTGAATTTTAAAGGTTCAGGGGGTTATATTTCTGAAAGATTAAACAAAAAATCATTAATCAGATTTTTTGTTAATTATAACTGACCACAAGCTTAACTGGTACACTTCCTTCTTAGCTTTTCAGCGAAGAATTGTAATCATAATAGTAATTTAAAGTCTCAAAATAATTAATGTTAAACCATTATTTCCCATAAAGATGTCTTACCATGTAAAGTTATGACCTACAATTTCTCTGTTAATTTTAACCAAGAGTTAATCAAAATTTTGCTAGTCATATGGTTTCACCATACAGGAAATATGTACACCAAATTTATGATAAAAGCTGCCTCTGGAAAATGAAAGGTGAGGAAAGAATAGAATTGGAGAGGGGTACAAAGAGAACTTCATCAGTAAAGTTGTATTTATTTTACTAAAAAATATTCAAGGCAAAGATTACATTTGTTGATTTAGGGTAAATATGTAGTTCACAAAGGCCAAGTACCAGACAGCCCATGCATCGAATGTACTGGAACAGGGTTCATTGAGAGAAACCCATGTAGAAAGGATCAATAGCAACTTTAGGACCACAACACCTGCTCATCTTCTCTTGCCCATCACTTTTTCTGACCTTGCACAGAGGGAGAAAGGGCTGTGGAGGTTTTAAGTGACATAATTTCTGAAACTCTGGACCCTCCCAGTGTGACCAAGGGTCAGAATATCATTGTCATAGGACATGGCGGGACATTGGTTCTAGCCCTATCCTACCGATTCAGGGCTCATGTTTATGGTGGTGCATCAGCCTGGTGCCTGATATGAACAGGAGGTTGGGGTCCAAACCTTGCAGTTACAAGTTTATGATGTAGCTGGATGTTGACAGGACATACCACCACATTAGCATTTATTGTTGTTTGAAGCACCAGCTCCTCTCTTGGTGCCCTGGGGCTTGGTTGCTGGGGGCCTAAGTCTTGTGTTTAACAGAATTATGGCTTAGCACTTGGCAGAAGTCAATTTCAGTGGCATGAACCAACTCCTTTTCTGGAGGCAGCCTGTAGAGAATCACTCCTATATACTGTTTCTAATCCTATGTTTTAGTATACTAATGCTTGCATCTTTTCCTTCATACTTTTGAATGTACATTTTTTCCCCCAAATTAAGAGAAAAAAAGAGAAGTGAAATCTTCAAAAATACAAACACATTCACATACATACACACACTGTGTATGTATATATGTATGTGTGTGTGTGTGTGTGTATATATGTATATATATAAATTAATGCTGAGAGACATTGAAGGCAGAAAAGATAGACCATTCATTCAATAAATGTTTACTGAGCATGTGTTATGTGACAGGGTCTATTTTAGGCACTAAAATAAAACTGAACAAGCTATAGTAATGATCTACTGATCTACCCAAGGGGGAGACTGAACTAGATCTAGGTAGGTTTGAGCATCCCTCCCACCCCCCATCTTACCCCTCACAGAGCCCCAAGCTGAGCTCCCTGTGTTATACAACAGCTTTCCACTAGCTATCTATTTTATACATGATATTGTGTATAGAGTGTGATAGTCAAGTGTATGAAAGCCACTCAGTCATGTCGACTCTTTGCGACCCCACAGACTATACAGTCCGTGGAATTCTCCAGGCCAAAATACTTGAGTGGGTAGCCTTTCTCTTCTCCAGGGGATCTTCCTGACCCAGGGATAGAACCCAGGTCTCCCTCATTGCAGACAGACTCTTTACCAGCTGAGCCACAATGGTGTGTATATATTGTGGACTTCCCTTGCGGCTCAATGGTAAAGAACAACTGCCAATGCAAAAGATATAAGAGACCTGGGTTCCATCTCTGGGTCAGGAAGATCCCCTGGAGAAGGGGATGGCAACCCACTCCAGTATTCTTGCCTGGAGAATCCCATGGACAGACGAACCTGGAAGGCTACAGTCCGTGGGATCACAAGAAGTCAGACACTACTGAAGTGGCTTAGTATGCAGGCGTGCACAGCGTGCATGCATTGTGTACAGTGCTACTCTCTGCTTGTCCCACCCTCTCCAGCTTAGCAATTGATTTGGTGTGTCGGAGGTTAAAAGGATAGGGAGGTGCCGAAGAGAGTTATAGTATAAGCTAAAAGATAGGAACTGACTTACATAACATTATCTATGGTGCTTATAACTCTGCAGTTTATAAAACACCTTCAACTACATTAGCTCAATCATCTCTTACAACAATCTTTGGAACTGGATGTTAATATTTTCATTATGCATTTAAAGAAACTAAGATTCCCAGATATCAGTGATTTCCTCAAGATCAACTTTTCTATGTGATAGAGAAAATCCTAGCCTTCTCTTCCAATTCCCATCTTTTTACTGTGTCTTTCCTGAAAACTCACCTCCCGTCTTTGGTTTCATTTACTCCTTTGATACAAAGATCATTATTATTAAGTGAAATACCAGTCCACACAGAAATTCAGACGTTTTACTCTCTCTGATGAAACACTACAGATCAGCAAAGAGCTTAAGGTAGGTTTAAGACTAAAAGTGATTTTACAGATGAAAAAACTGAGGATTAAGCATTAAAGCTAAACAGGAGCTGCCAAAATTGTCCCTTTACTGAATCCTTATAAAATTGTTTATCAAACTTCATTAAGAGAGCCTCTCAAAGGAAAGAGCAATTCATACTAGGAAGTAAAATGTTACTATTTAAACTTAACTTGGTTTGTTTCCTTTTATAGTCCTATTGGATGCTCTTTATATGTGTATCACTAGCTTATAAATTTTAAATGGCATTTTAAACACTACTTTACCTCTAATTTGTATTTTATTGCCTTTTAATTGTGTAACTTTTTTTCTTTTCAGGGAGACGTAATAGTGACTTTGCTTGGGCCCAAGTCAAGTCAAGCATAATTCATCATCAGTAGTAGAACAATGTTTAATAACCAGCAGTCTGGTTTGTATGAAGTAGGCTGGGATTTTGATTATAGAAAACACTACTTGATGTATAACTTCCATCTAAATTTAATATAAATTTATGAACTTTTACTTTAGATAAATGTGATTAGTTTTATTATTTGAGCTGACTGTAAGGGTTTCATTGTATTTTTCTTAATTTTTGAAATTTATTTCTATTCTTTTTCTTTGTCATATTCCAAGTACATTATAAGCACAGATATGTACTTGTGAAATATCCAAATAGGTTAGAAATTGTTATTCCTTTAGAAGCAAAGCTTATGAAGTATTAGGATTACTTTAAACACAATCTTTATTAAGACAAAAGGTCCATACACTTTTAAATTTCTGCTTTACGAGCTCTGTTTTCCAGTGTTTATAAATTATGCAGCTGTTAGCATTATAAGAATATTGGATATTCATATCCAATTTTAAATAAGAACTTTATATTCTTAGATCTGAGAGGTATAGCTATAGAACTGAGTTAGACTATTTGACTAGCAAAAGACATGACAGCCAATGTCAGAATTGCATTGTTTGGCCAGCAGGCATCACACTCCCAATTCAGAAATAAGAACTAGCCTGGGACACATCAGGGTGTTCTTCTCTGCATCCTTCAGAATCTGCGCTGGGTTTTAAGCCCAGACTTAAGTAGGTCCAGATAAAATATAGAGAGTCCCTGATCTATAGTTTCCATTGGGATGTTATTTTGTGAACAGTTCTAGAGCAACCTTATAGAAATAGGAGGAATGGGAGGCAGCAACTCCTTCAAATATAGATGGCAACAGTGTGTTCCTTGCTGTTTGTTTTAAAAAGTCCTGGTGTTTGTTAACTGAGATGATAGGGCAGTATAGCCTGTTCTATAAAGCATTCTAAGTGGAGAGGAGAGCATAAGGCACTTGAAAGTCACTAAACTGTCTGAAAATTAATATATATTAAAAACAGAATGGAATCAGTGCAACAGTGGGAATTACCTTTTACGAGTATCCATTCACAATCTTCATTTCTTTGGAGCCATCCTTTAAACAAAAGAAAGGCAATTTTTAGGTGGACTGAAAGCTTAGATAAGGTTATAAGGATTATAAATGTTCAGGTTATTAGGATTTATAAATTATAAATATTCTACTGGTTTAAGTCATTAATTCTTTGTCTTTTTTTTTTTTTAAGGTTTGGACTTCCCATAAAACTTTGTATAACAAAATAAAAATGTAATTGAAAAAAATGTGTCTCTTTTTATTTTATATTTTTTATTTTAGAAAATTTTCACATATTCTATTCTCATTGCTCATCAGGCCTATATGAAAAGCAAATCCATTTTATTCTTCTTGGATCCTAGGCAACTGATCCTGAACTGAATCTATTCCACTGTATGAAATCATATAATACATAGCTTTTTCAGATTGACTTCTTTCATGTAATAATATGAATTTAAGATTTTTCTATGTCTGCTCATGGCTTTATAATTAATTCCTTTTTAGGGCTGAATAATGTCCAATGTCTGAATGTTCCACAGTTTGTCATTCACCAAATGAAAGACATTTAGCTTGCTTTAAAAACTGGGCAGTTATGATTAAAGTTGCTTTAAACATCCATGCACAGGTTTTTATGTAGAGTAAGTTTTCACCTCCTTTGAGGAAATACCAAGGAGTACAATTTCTGGATCATATGGTAAGAGTATATTTAGTTTTGTAAAAAAAAAACAAAACCCTGAACTGTGTTCCAAAGTGGTTATACCATTTTTCATTCCCACCAGCAATTTATGAGAGTTCCTGTTGCTCCACATTCTTGCCAGCTTTGGTATCACCAGTGGTCCAAATATTGGCCATTCTAGTAGATGTGTAGTGACACCTCATTATTGTTTTAGTTTGCATTTCCTGGTGACGTTTCCTGATAGAATGTAGAGTTTACCATAAATATTCAAGAATTGTTAGCCAACTCATTTTATCCTGGCTAAGGGCCTAAGAAAAGAGTGGTGACTGGGCTGACTTTAGGCTTTTGTGCTAGGTATTCATTATTTCATTTGGTCATTCTCTACTAGGCATGTCCCATGAAGAACTTACTGAGAGTTCTGAGAGTAAATTGTTAGCTGCTCTTCCAACTTGTGTAGGGAAGGAAGATTGTATTTGCTAGTATATAGTTGTATATCATACTTAGTATGTTCATTAGGTTCATCTCTGTGGTGATGGTGGTGGTAGTGGTGTTCAGTCGCTCAGTCATGTCCAACTCTTTGTGATCCCATGGACTACAGCATGCCAGGCTTTCTTTTCCTTCACCATCTCCTGGAGCTTGCTCAAATTCATGTCCATTGAGTCAGTGATGCCATCCAACCATCTCATCCTCTGTCATCCCCTTCTCCTCCTGCCTTCAATCTTCCCCAGCATCAAAGTTGTTTCCTATGAGTTGGCTCTTCACATTAGGTAGACAAAGTATTGGAGTTTCAGCTTCAGTATCAGTTCTTCCAATGAATATTCAGGGTTGATTTCCTTTGGGATTGACTAGTGTAATCTGGAGAAGGCAATGGACCACACTCCAGTACTCTTGCCTGGAAAATCCCATGGATGGAGGAGCCTGGTGGGCTACAGTCCATGGGGTCACTAAGAGTTGGACACGACTGAGCGACTTCACTTTCACTTTTCACTTTCATGCATTGGAGAAGGAAATGGCAACCCACTCCAGTGTTCTTGCCTGGAGAATCCCAGGGACGGGGGAGCCTGGTGGGC